GCTCGGGGACTGGGACCCTCTCTGGGCTAAACTCGGGGACTGGAACCCTCTCTGGGCTAAACTTGGGGATTGGAGCCCTGGACACTGGAGCGAGCTCTGGGGCTGGAGCCGACACTGGAGCGAGCCTAGGGACTAGAACCAACCGCATTCTCCTCCTTAGATTCCCTTTTATGTTCGGGGTGGGCGGACTTGACACTGTTCGGGGTCGGCGGACTTGACACTGGAGCGGCCGGTGGGCTTGAGAAAGCCATGGCTGGCAGGCTTGACTCAGGAACCGCCGGCGGGCTTGACTGAGGAACCGCCAGCGGGCTTGGGAATGCCGCTGCCGGCGGCCTTGACTTTGGAGCAGCCGGCGGGCTTGAGAATGCCGTGGCCGGCGGGCTAGTTCTGGATCGGGGCTGGACGCTCTCCAGACACTGGAGGATCCCTTCCCTCCAGCTCAGTCCTGTGGTGTCTGGGAGGTCCATGGGGCGATAGCAATTGGCCCCGATCCAGAACAGAGAGTTGAGCGTGGCGTCGTCCAGCGCTGTTTTTGCGGCGATCTTGTTGAACTCCCATGCATACTCCACGAAGGGGAGATCTCTGTGGGCTAGGGCGATAAAAAGAGCGGCTACTTCCATGCCGCGGGGAGAAACACACAGGAAAACAAAAGACTTTCAAAACGAAAAATAAACACTGGGAGAAGGGGCGCCGCTTACTGTCTTGGTGGTCCGGAATTCTGTCACGCTACTGTGAGGAGCACGGAGACGAAGGAGCGAGGAGACGAGGAGTGGAATTCTAACATATAGATTTTAATCGCAGCAAGGGTAGACATATACAATACCAGACGAAGAACTAAGAACCGGGAACACTTTAAATACACAGGAGCAAATGAAGATAATTAATAACACAGCTGGAACTAATCAGGGAACATAATGGCAACAGGAAACAGGAAGACCAAATAGGAAAAACCAAATAAGGGCATGGAAACACATGGGGAGCAAAACACACACAAAACACGGAACAGGGTCTGACAGATCATGTGACACTGGAGACTGGAGTAATGGCTGCTGAAAAATCAGCTTTGTCATCACAGGAATAAATTACATTTTAAAATATATATAAAAGAAGAGTTTTAAATAACTTTTCATTTTTATATATATTTTAAAATGTAATTTTAAAACAATGTAACAATATTTCTCAATATTACTGTTTTTAATGTACAGTATATTGGATCAAATAATTGCAGCCTTGGTGAGCATTTACACACACACACACACATATATATATATATATATATATATATATACTGTATATATATACATAAACTGTTCTTGAGAGTCTTAAAATTGTATTATTTCTATATTAACCCTGGTTCTTTCCTTAGGAAGTTTGTTTTTTTAAGATGAAATACTGTTGAATTTGGGTCAGGGAAACTTATTATGTGTCACCATGGGGCCACAACTTATCCAATGAACCCTTTTTATAAGGAAACAGATAAGGGAGAGACAGGCAAGTGTAGCATTGGCATGGGGCCAATGTTTGTCTGAGGACCTGCTTAGGGTTCACACCACTGTGCACAGGACCATCACTTACACTGAGGAGATGGCAAATGACAGTTTGTGTTTCAGCCGATAAGCACCATTATGAAGACGCTCTGATGACATTGCCTCACAGTCTCACTATATAAAGAGAGAGAGAGAGAGAGTATGAGATCAATAGAGTTGTACAGTATATTTGTACAGTATATAAGGAACTAAATCCCTTATGGGCCCTGCATGGTTCGCGTTCTCCATCTTTTGTAACCGTGAAAAAAAAAGTGCTTTACATAGCTGTTTAAGTCTTGTGACCTCAGTATTGTGACATTGGCCTTGGCTTTTTCTCACTGCCAGGTGTTCAAAACCTACTCCAATGAAGATTATGACAGGAGGAATGAAGAGGTGGACCCGGTGGCATCCTCGGCTGAGTATGAGCTGGAGAAACGGGTGGAGAAGCTGGAACTTCTCCCTGTAGAACTAGAAAAAGGTGACTAGCAGGACGGCAGTGTCAGGTTAAACATTTAGGATAGTTATTATAAGTGAGAGTAGGTCTCGTCGTCAAACCTTTGACTCCAGAAAATAATTTTCAGTCAGTTTTTACTCTTATAGTTTTAACCTTACAGCTGTTGAGAAACCGTATAGCCCCTGTGACAACTAGCCCTTGTATAAGCTTTCTCAAAAAAAAAAAAAAACGGATAGATATAAGTAGGTTTTCAGGGAAATATTCTGCATGTATTTGCATATTTTGTGAGTGAATCAATGGTAAGCCTTGAATATTGATCAGTTACAATAAACATACATCCATCCAACAAACATCCAATGATTTATTGAATTGTCATTCTTTCCATTTGCTCACCACTAATATTTTTCCTTTCATTGATTTGTGTATATGTTCATCTGTGGATGTCAGATGAGGACGGCCTGGGCATCAGTATTATAGGAATGGGGGTCGGCGCTGATGCAGGCCTGGAGAAGCTTGGCATCTTCGTCAAGACTGTCATAGAGGGTGGAGCAGCAGAGAGAGATGGAAGGTAAACTAAACAGCACATAGAAAGTAGTAATGGACGTATATATTGGTATTATAATCACCCTACGTTCTGGAAATGGATATGAGTATTTTCCATGTAGAAAGAAAAACTCCATTGGTTAAACAATAGTCAAAAATAATGGGTTTCTTGTCCTTGCTCTGTTCAGCTGCACCCAAAGTGAGAGAATCCCTGAGAGTCCGTCATGAGATTTGCACATTGCCTAAAATTAAAGCAAAGCTTTTGGGCTTTATCACTGATTGTAGCTCAAGAGCCTGACAATCCTAAAGAGAGGGTAGGGATGGGAATGAAAGCAGCCCATTTCACATCTGGCTAAACATTCTAGTCTGGTAAGTTTAGTAAACGGTTTTTGGAGAAAATGCTTTTTGGTTTACCAAGTTTGAGACCACTAGTGAAAATGTTTATTAAATTAGAAAAGTATTTATTTTTTAATTTTTTAATTAAAATTATATTAGCAGCATAAAATTTTGTGTGAAAAGTTATTTCATGTCTTAGTATTTGTTTTGTCTCCCTTTAGTATTAATGGCAGCAGCAATCAACCAATCTGACATGACTCTACAAGTTTATGTAAAACCGGTCGATCATGTTTTCCAGCAAGATTTGAAATGATTCAAAGAGCATCTTGAACTTCAGTTGAATATCTGTACAAAGAGTCACATGATCATTGTCACAAATTTACTTATTATTGATCTAGAAATAGTGCAGAATCTGAAGTATTTCTTATTCATTTTACATTATAATGTTTCTTTAAAGATTATTTTGAAATTCTAAATCTTTAAGTTTATTTCCAAGTTTGAGATTCTGAATCCCAGTCTTTCAATGTGGTCTCAGCTTTTCGCTGAGTGACATCAAACACTGCTGAAATCTTGAGAAATGTTTACTTGTTTCAAGATTACCAAGCAACTGCAAGCTTTCTGCAAGGACCATTCAATAGCCAGAATGTAATTTCCCCCACCATTAACTCAGGCTGTTTCTGAGCTGAGTGTAACAATGTAGGATTCGACAGTGACATTGAAATCTTTGCACTGGAGTCCTTATTTTTTGCATAGCAGAATTATAATTTCCTGCTTTTTTTACTATATTGGCGACATTGCAAAATGCATGTGAAGGTCAAGCTGTGCTTACGCCACACTCTTTAGGTGCACATTAGGATTCAATCTTGCAAGCATCCCTCAGTCTGCTTTGCCTGCATAACAGACGGGATTTGCCAGGAGCTCAATATCCAGACAGGAATCAAGGGTCAAGGCAATTTGGTCAAACTCACAAAGCTCATTACAGATATCACACAGTTGGAGCTCTTCATGCAAACACTGTAGCATTCTGAAAATATATGATCACAAGTTGTTGAGGAGCTTACTCGTCCTTGTAATCTTATAGGATTGTAATTCCCTCTGTCTTTTAAGCATTAGCTGCAGAAATGAAAGAATGTGACCACCCAAGTTCAACTGAAAACATAAAAATATTGTTCATGGTTCTCAAACTTTTTTGTCCTTTTTACGTCCTATGACCTAAATTATTTACTTGAAGTATTCACTAGGATTTTAAGTAATTATTACATAATCAAAAATCATATTTATATTCATTCAGGTAGTATAAAGTATATATTATGAATGTATTTTATTACTGTATAAATTTATTGTATTTTATTAATATATAAATTTTATTAATGTATGTACTATTTATGTTAATTAATGTGGTAGTATAAAGAATATATCTGTATAAAATATATAAAAAGTATAAAATACTTTTTATTAATGTATTAATTATAAAATGTAATAATTTATTAATTTATTTTAATGTAATTATTAACATAAACAACAACTACAATAATAGTTTTTATTATTACCATTTGATTATTCCATATTATGAAACAATAATTTAGTAGTATAAAGAATATGTTTATAGAAAATGTTTTAATATAATAATAATATCATCATCATCATCATCATTATTATTATTACTGCATATTATGCATTATGAAATTAATTCACTCTTGATACTGGTGTCTTTACATATCTGCCGTAATTATGCAGAAATAAATCTTTATACATCTTTATAAACTTTAATTTGCATCAATACTTTTATCTTAATGTCTTTAAAGCCATTCTCACTGAAGTTCTGTGTCAAACTCTAAGGGTTCACAAACTCTGGGAAACCCTGTCCCAGGATGTACTGTGTCCTTCATACATCAGCATATTTGTTCCACTTAAAAAATTAATCATAGCAGAGTGATGAGAAGGCCCCAGGCAGAACATAATTAAGCTTTTATTAAAAAAATAATCTCAGAATGACAGAGAAATCGATGTTTAGTATTCATACAGTTCTCCAAACCTGTTTTAGAGATTGCACAATGTCCTAATAGTGTCACTGTAACAAGCATTACAACATAACCACCTTCATTTTCCACAGAATTCAAGTGAATGATCAAATCGTGGAGGTTGACGGCACCAGTCTGGTGGGAGTGACTCAGAGCTTCGCTGCTTCTGTCCTGAGAAACACACAGGGAGTGGTCAGGTAAGATACGAGATGTCTACAGCCATTTTTGCTTGGTTATTATGTCTCATTAATCCCAGGTTTGCCCCTGAATGCTGACCACAAGATCCTCACATCCCCACATCCGAATCCTCGCCGTAGCCTACAGGCTGCTAGAGTGACCAGTGTTATTATTAGCGTATGAAATAGCATGACATGCCATCGTCTTTCCCTCCCACTCAGCTTTCTTGTGAGAAAAATCATAGACTTCTAATTAGTGTATCTAAACTCCCCTTAGACATGACAGCTCTCAAAGACATGAGAGCATGTCTTTGAAAAGCATATCGGCCAGCAGGAATACTTCACACTGTAAGAAAACAAGACTCTTCATTAACAGTAGAGCTGCACAGCATGATGGAGCGTATTGTTTTTAAACAGATGCTGTCAGTGGTGTATTATACTTCCTCTGTAAACATAAACACGCTTAAAAAAATGACTTGACTGGAACTATGAATTTACCTTCAAATGTATTTTTATTTAAAAGGGTTTAATGAAATATTATTTCCTTAAAGGGACAGTTCACCCAAAAATGAAAATTCTGTCAGCATTTACTCATTTTCAAGTTGTTCCAATTCTGATTTTTTTTGGGGTGAAATATCACTTTAAATGTGACATTTTGAGAGGGACAGAGCCTTCTTGATTTATATGGTTTCATATAGCCAGGCAGATACTAAAACAGTCTGCATAAAATAATTTTCTTGGTCAGTACTTTTGTCTTATTTTACAGTAAAAAAAAACATCGAAAACATCCTTGAAATGAAATAAAGGTACTTTAGAAAAAAAATTGTTTTCAGATATATCTTGAATTGTTTCTCTTCAAATATTTGTCTATATATCTAGCTTAAAACATAAAAAAACAGATGAGTTCAGAAAAATAAATGTGTATATAATTTATAAAATATATATGTAATAAATATAAATATTATATAATATAATTAATATATTTTATGATCTATAATATTTAATAATGTATAATATTATAATATAATGTATTTATATAGTTTATATATTTATATAGTCAGATTTTTACTGGAAAACATCAAATTCATCAAGTACTATGAAGGTAAGACATCATCGTAAGTGTTTCTTTGTTTTTCAGCTGTCTATCCTTTCCTGGTTTTGATTTATTCCCTCCTGCTGGTTATTTCTCTCTGTTCTCACCGATGAGGCAGTGTGGCCCAGATTTGGAATTTGTGCTATATTTAACCTACTGTAAGAATTAAGGCAGGTCTTAAACTCTATCTGCACCAGTGACCACCAATAAATATATGAAGATTGACACTCTATTAAGAGCGATTCATTGCTGTGATGATTCAGTGTCAGAGTCTAAGGAATTTTATAGCAAGTTGGCAGGAACGCCTCCTCACTGGGTGAGGTGATGCGTATATCCTGAAATGCATCCTGTCACTCCAGATGTATGTGAATAATAGTGGTGGGTTTTGCCAATAAGAAAGCTCTGTCCCGGAGCAGTTGGGATCCCTGCGTGTGGTATCGAGATGGAAGAGAGGACTGTTTCCAGGTCAGCTATGCTGCAAAAGCAGCAGAGATGCTTGGCATCACACAGTATTAGCCCAGTTGTTGCTTCAGATGTAGATCAAATTTGGGCCCTTATCTGTGCCTAATGCAGGGTGATTAGGACTCCATGCTGAGCACTTCCCTGCTGGTTCTCCAAAACATGGATTGTGCACTGCAGAGGATGGGGTGAATATTATTGGAGGGAATTGTCTCAAATTATTAAACATTTTCACTCCTTTCATGTTATGGCTTGTAATTGATAAATGGCATATATTAAAATTCTATACCATTATGTCAAATAACCTAAAAGGATAGTTCACCCAAAAATGAAAATTACCCCATGATTTTCTCACCCTCAAGCCATCCTAGGTGTATATGACTTTTTTTCTTCAGATGAATACATATCGGTGTTAGATTAAAAAATGTCCTGACTCTTCCAAGCTTTATAATGGCAGTGAATAGGGGTTGAGATTTTGAAGCCCAAAAAAATGCATCCATCCATCATAAAAGTACTCCACACGGCTCTAGGTGGGTAATAAAGGCCTTCTGAAGCAAAGCGATGGATTTGTGTAAGAAAAATATCCATATTTAAAACTATTTAAAACTAATTTTTCACAGGTAAAGTAACTTTAACATTTTAATGTTGCCTGCATAAAATATTTGACTTCGAAGTAAATATTTGATTATTTATTTATTAAGTTATTTGAAATTATTTGAATGTATTATTGCTCAGTATTGTAAGGCAGGTCAGAGATTCATTCTCTGCAATTCTGTTTGGTGCAACTAGTGGTGCAGAAATGACAAACTTTACATTTTATGAAAAACTTTCATTTTCAAGTTTTCGATGTTTCAGCATTAATTCTTTCCCTGATTTTCTCAAGTAGAACTGTTAACGTTTTTAAACCGTTATTATGTTCACTTTGTCACAGTCATTTATCACACTGACCTCGCAAGAATTACCTCCTGTCACATTCATTGATTTATAGGGTATATTATAAAAGATACAATCCGTCAATGAAATGAGAACAAAATCACCTGTTTGAGGCCAGACACTGCAAGAAAAGAGCTTGACATATTTCACTTCACTGAAATAGAAAATTAGGGTTTTTTACCGTTCTCTATTTTACTGAATGACATGCTATTTCATCTTCCACATTTTTATACCCACCCCATTTATGTAAAATCTATTCTGTTCTTTGTCTCCATTTGAAAATCAATAGCCATAATCATTTTTAGCCTTTGCAAAACTGCATTTGATCACAAAGCCCCCCTCCCTTCTCATTAGCAGTTGGTATGTCTTTGCAGGTTTGTGATTGGCCGAGAGCGTCCGGGACAACAGAGCGAGGTGGCTCAACTCATCAGCCAGACTCTGGAGCAGGAGAGACATCAGAGAGAGATGATGGAGCAACAGTACGCCCAATATGATGCTGATGATGACGAGGTGAGCACAGAACAGGTCTCACATCAGCGCTTGTCTGAGCATGTCAGCGACTGTCGGAACAGGTTAATCAACTGTCACAAGCCAGTTGGAGCAGGTTCAAATCTATTATCCATGATTCGTCCATGCTACAAGCCTCAGCCTGTTACAATTTGTCACATCAAAGTGCAGCAGGATGAAGCAGTTCTGCAAGTCAAAATCTATAGAAAACATAGCTATAACCTGTCAGTCATATTAAAAATAATACTATGAACTGTTGGGTTGCACAGTTCTGGTTTATCAGCATATCTGTTGTATAATTTTTCTCACAGTATCCTACATTTGACCATATTTTTTTACATTTGCAGCTGGAAAGATGGAAAGATAGTATAGTGCCACAAAAACACTTGTTGCTCCATCTATTTAAGTCTTCCTGTTGAAATGAAAAATCTCAAATCTCAAATATAAATAAAATATAAATAAAAAAAAAAATAAAATTGTTTCCTCTAGATGAGGGGTTTTCAAAAAACAAAGTGGGGCTAATAGTTTGAAACATTAATATATGTATTTCCTTACTAAATAGAAGTATTAATGTGTGTGTAAATACACATACACACACACATATATAACATACATATATATGTATGTATGTATGTATATAAATAAAAGAATAAAAACTTAACACATTTACCAAATGATATGTTGCTGTTTCATTCAGCTTTTAACATGGAATTCAAGTTTATTATTATTAGTAGTAGTAGTAGTAAATGTTAATCTCTTCTTCTCTGAGTAAAAAAATAGTTTATTTTAATAATTTTCTTTGACTTTAATTCAACAAAAATACAATTTTAAAGTAGAAAATTGATAATATCCCACTTGATATTTTGTTTTTCACACACTAAAAATCAGTCTTACTACATAAAAATAAATAGTTGCCATGCTATTTCTCCAGTGCTACAAATTAGATTTCAGCACTGTCACAAAGTGTGCTAAGGTTGTTGAGAGCTTCTCATGAGAAAAACACCCACAGTGGCAGCTTTCTGCTCCATGGAGAGTTGATGGGGTTTGTTATATTACTAGTCACTGAGCAGTTATTGCTCAGTTCTCATTAGCGGATCGGTGGGCAGCCTGGCTTTCCAAACAAGAGGTGCCACAAGTCTGTTGTCACGTCTGTGACTGTGCTACGACCTGTTTTCAAAGGATTCAGAGCGGTGCATTACCGTAATGCATGCAGATCTGTCACAGCGGTGGGATTCTATACGAAAGGTCTGACTGAAGAAAGCATTAAATGAATTGCCTGCTACGATTCAAAGATAATTACATCAGTAGACCAGGCAAAGCAATTTCTACCTTCTGATTTGGAGGACACGGACAATTTAGCATTATAGGCTCTCGTGCAGCGCAGAATGATGCAAGACTCACATGTACTGATGCAAGAGTGACTTTTTAAAGCCTCTCATTATTTGTCAGTGAGAATCTAAAATAGCATTTCGACTGGATGTATGTGTTGAAATCTCACATTATACAGTTAGCTGATGTCATTCTTATGTACCCGCATGGTTTTATTAGTCCTCTTCTGCGGTAACGTCTGGATATTGTGTAGCGGCTGGCTCGGCTGCACTCTTGAAATGGCTGTGCGATCAGCACTGTTTTATAATTCTGGCACAGGCGGCTACTCCGTATGTTCGTGTGAATGTGCCATGTGTGTGCTTGAGCGTCAGCACATGTGAATGTCTGTTTAAATGTGTCATATCAGTGTCATGTAAGAGAGATGAAGGTTTAGGGGCTGGTGTGTTCACTGATGCAGAATGGTGTGAACCTGCCTGAAATCTTGCTGTGCTGTGGATTAGCAGCTGCCAAAACCATTCACAAGCTGCCTGCCAGCAGTAAATGGCCTTAAAACAGCAGGGTCCTGCAGGATATAGTGGTTACAAGGACATCCAAGAAAGGTTCGGAAAGGTTAGTGGTGATGGAACAGGCATACGGTAGTATCAGCCACATGTATAAATATATGAATTTCACAGCATTATATAATAGTATACTAAATAATGATAGACCGTTTTGTAACCTAATTTTTTCAGCCATTGTTGCTATTACTTTTAGCCAACCATGACAGTAACTATGGACATCATGAGTTCTTAATTAGCATATAGATTTTTTTTTTCTAGGGATGTCTAAATAAGTAGTATATTGGTTATATATATGGTGTATACACACACACACACACACACACATATGGCAACACTTTACAATAAGGTTCATAAGTTAACTACTTTAACTATAAGAATGAACAATACTTCTACAGCATGTATTAATCTTAGTTAATGTTAATTTCAACATTTACTAATGCATTATTAAAATCAAAAGTTGTGCTTGTTAACATCAGTTAATGCACTGTGAATTAACATGAACTAACAATGAATGACTGTAATTTCATTAACATCAACAAAGATGAATAAATACTGTAATAAATGTTTTGCTCATTGTTCATTCATGTTAGTTAATACATTAACTAACATTAACTAATGGAATCTTATTGTAAAGTGTTACAAGGGCATTGAAGATGAAACGTGGCTGGGTCTTTCAGCATGACAATGATCCCAAACACACCGCCCGGGCAACGAAGGAGTGGCTTCGTAAGAAGCATTTCAAGGTCCTGGAGTGGCCTAGCCAGTCTCCAGATCTCAACCCCATAGAAAATCTTTGGAGGGAGTTGAAAATCCGTGTTGCCCAGCGACAGCCCCAAAACATTACTGCTCTAGAGGAGATCTGCATGGAGGAATGGGCCAAAATACCAGCAACAGTGTGTGAAAACCTTGTGAAGACTTACAGAAAACGTTTGACCTCTGTCATTGCCAACAAAGGGTATATAACAAAGTATTGAGATGAAATTTTGTTATTGACCAAATACTTATTTTCCACCATAATTTGCAAATAAATTCTTTAAAAATCCTACAATGTGATTTTCTGGATTTTTTTTTCTCATTTTGTCTCTCATAGTTGAGGTATACCTATGATGAAAATTACAGGCCTCTCTCATCTTTTTAAGTGGGAGAACTTGCACAATTGGTGGCTGACTAAATACTTTTTTGCCCCACTGTATATATATATATATATATATATGTATATGTGTGTATATGTGTGTGTGTTTTATCATTTACCTCTGTCATTTATCATTTACCATTTACTGTTCTACTTACTGATCACACGAATCATTTAAAACTCTGCTAAATGTAATTTTGAAAATGTACAAAAATAATGCCCATTTAAAAAAAAAATGAATAAAAACTGAATATCCATTTTCTTACTACACATTATAATGTTCCAAAATTCAAATGTAGCATTTAAAAGAATGTATTAAAATTTTTTTTTTTTTTATTTAAACAAAATAGTATAGAATTTTACTATAATATGAAATATAATAAATATAACTTAATTAGCTATTTTGTTAACTAATACAGTGACATTCTTACTTTTTTTTCTCTTTTTTTTTTAGTGTGGCTTAAGTACTTTCTGTGCCTCTTTATATGAACTTCTTGCAATTAGTTTCCTCAAACGTGTGTTATGGCAACCACCAGTGTGTTAAAAAAAGGATGGTGACACATATACTAATTGAATGTGACACTCCAAAATTAGCTAATTTGCCCCTTGGGGGTATCTGAGAGGTAATATCACGCTGATGATATGGAGTCTGTGTGCTGCGCTCCGTATCCTCTCATTTAACGTGTGTGAGGGGATGAGAGAGACTTGAGGAGACACAGATGAAACGCAAATGAGACCACTCAGGTTAAAGCAGTACAGTAGGGCAGGGTTATATATGGCCTCCTTCCAGGCAGAATAATTTGATCTGGAAAGGAGGCCTCCCAGGGAGCAGCCCTGCCCTGCAACCAGATACGAACCCCAGCCAAGCAGAACCAACACAGACGTGTGTGTCTGCACATCCATCCGCCTAAAATAACTTTGCCAGACCCACACGCAAGCAGGAGAAATAAATGCTATATGAATAATTTTAAGATAACAGACCAAAACTGTTTAAAGTTTGGGGTCAGTATGAATTAAAAAAAAGAAAGAAATAAATTATAATTTTATTCAGCAATGATGCATTAAATTTAACAAATGTGCCAGTAAAGACATTTATAATTTTACAAAAGATTTTTATTTCAAATAAATTTTGTTCTTTTGAACTTTCTATTCATTAAAGAATTTAAAAATATATATTTTCACAAAAGGTTTTCACAAAAATATTAAGCAGCTGAACTGTTTTCAACATTGATAACCATAAGAAATGTTTCTTGAGCAGCAAATCAGCATATTAGAATGATTTCTGAAGGATCTTGTGACACTGACGCTGCTGAAAATTCAGCTTTGCCATCACAGAAATTAATTATATTACTGTTTTAAATCAAATAAATGCAGCCTTAGTAAGCATAAGAGACCGTTAAAAAAACAGACCAAAATTGTTGAACAGTAGTGTATTTCATACATAAATTCCACGTTAAAAACAGACTCAATTTTTCAATTTTATGCTACGCAATCACTAAGATGTTCAGAGTGCCTGCTAGAGCATTGCTACATGATTGCTAGGGTGTTCTGTGGGCTGCTAGGTCATTGTTTACTAGCTCAAGTCAAAAGACTTATTGAGATTTTGTTTGAGATATGGGATTTGTTTTTATTTATTTATTTAAAATTTTTTGTGCTTTGCCAAGTTAAATCGTTTAAAAATGTAATAGCACATCTCAGTGATCTGTGCAAAACGAGGTAAAGTTCACATTTCATTTGGCTAAGCATACCAGTTAATATAAAATCAAAGCCAGTTTTTTAGGATATGAAATGGTCTAGTATCTGTATTGTTGTTAAGAAAATACAGCGTCCTGGACACACAATGTAAAGTTGTTCCACCTATTAAAGATAGAAACCCTTCACATTGATTGCTCCAGTAAATGCAGTGTGGATGTTTATTCCCATATGCCCATGCTCAGACAGGAGAGTACGCCACGGATGAGGAAGAGGAGGCAGGGCAGACGGGAACAGACCGAGATGTGGCCATTGAGGTTTTCGATTTACCTGAAAACGAGGACATCATCTCGCCATCAGAACTGGATGCCACCAAACTTTATCAGAAGTTTCGAGAGGTAAACCAAGACTGCATGCATTTTTTAAAAAATGATTAATGAAAGGAAGTACTTAACCTTTAGAAAACCTGAAAAGGTCAAGCTAAGTCAGCTGTCAGCTTTATTTTCTGTCTAAATACAGATAAAAATTGTAATTTCGTTGTTTTTGGCAATAAATTTCAAGTTAATTTTATGTTGAATAATAGCTTATCTTTTCAACGTTCTAATTATCAAAGAATCATGTTTTCAGAAAAATATTAAGCAACTGTTTTCAACATTGATAATAATGTTTCTTGAGCAGCAAATCAACATATTGAAATCATTTCTGAAGGATCATGTGACACTGAAGACTGGAGTAATGGCTGCTAAAAATGCTGCTAAATATGAATTAATTGCATTAAAAATGTATTACAATAGAAAATTGTAATAAATTGTAAATTGTAAAAAATTGCAAGTTCCTACTGACACCCTGCCATGACATGTTAATCAGCCTGGAGAAAATAGATCTGATTCACATTTTTCCTGTCTACAAAACCACATGGCCTAGATTCAGTGTACATGCAGTAAACACAACGTTTCAGTATTGGTTTGTACCTAGGACTATCTATTATCTTCACTGCTCTTCTGGAAAATTGCTGCTGATGAGAAACCATATTCTTTTGTGAGAAAAGATTTAAATATTGTATCCCAGAATTCACTCCTTCCTCAATTGTCTTGGTCTTTTTCCTTCTCGCTCTCTGCTGTTATTTCTCTTGAGTCTGGATTTTCAGAGAGAGAGAGAGTGTCGTCAGGCAGAGAGAGCCTCTCTGGTCAGTTCCCTTTGAGAGGAGGACTGTCCTTGATCTTGCACTCATCTTTCTTCTACTCTCTCTTATTCCTTTGTGTCTACAGCTGCAGATTAAACACACTGTCACTGAAGCTGAGATCCAGAAACTCAAGAACAAGGTAAGAGGCTGCTGTATCTGCTAATGTTTTCCCCCCACAAAAAGATACAAATTGGATGGAATTTGAAGTACATTGAAGAAAAAGAACAACTGGATTTATTGCAAGTCTCCCTTATACTTAAGACTTCTTTGTTTGTTATCATAAATAAAGTAAGCAAGAGGAAAATGCACCCGCATAACTTAATGACCTAAGAAAGGCAGCAAAAATAAGTGTTATTTTTAGTATTATTTACTATTATGCACTTTTATAATATTTATTAATATTTTGAATTAGTTTTATATTTATATTGTCAGTTTTTAATTTAAATTTAGTTTGGGTTTTAATAATTTTCCTATTAGCTTTTGTCATTTTTATTCATTTTTAAAAAATATTTCTACATAGCATTAATTATTATTTCAGTTTTAGTTTTAGTCATTTTAGTACCTAAACTTATTTCAGTTAGATGCTAAGGCAAAATTTCTCATTTTTATTTACATTTTTTAAGTTTAAGTTTTTTGTTGAATATATACAGAGTTCTGGCATGAAACTCTAGATGGCGCAGTCCGATAGGTCTAACTCAATCTGACCTAATGACATCATTATCACATAGCACAGCTGATTGGTTCTCTCCTGAATCGGTAGCCAATGAGCTCGCTGCTCAGCATTCAAATATATGACTAGTGCTTGCCGTAGCAGTTGCAGCTTGCTTCAGAAATCCTCCACCTTCCCCAGCTCCACCTGTATAGATCTGCTACGAGGTGATTCATGTATACTGTATGGGGGTTATTTCATGTACGTTATATTTGCAGCAGCAGTATTTCTTATATGCTCACAGCAGCATGTTGTGGATGTACTGGCAGTAGCAAGTCTCGGTACTTGCTCTGCCGCAGCAGCAGCAGCATAGCAGATCTATTCCGCCAAGACCAAATACATTAACATTATCATGTACATTACCATGCCAATCCCTCCGAGAGTTGTCATGACAGAATTATATTTTATCTTAGTTTTCATTATTTACTGAAAATTAGTTTTAATAGTCTTAGTTTCAGTGTATGCATAAATGCTTTAAGCACCTTCTCTTAAGCACCTTGTGAATTCAGTGGCAAATGTCATGAAATGTCTCAGTTGTTGTCTGAGAAAATCTCTTAGCGTAGTGCTGACGTTTACATCATTACCATAGCAACCCATGTAGACGTGCCGGATGTTGACTTCACTGTCTGAACAAACGTCAGATTTCATCACTTGTAAAATGACAGTGCAGACAGTCAGGGCTACGTTTGAATTTGTTTATGGTGTGAACAAAGCCATTTATATTCCTCTTGCTCATATGGACATGTTGACATGTCTATCTATCGTTCTATCGTTCTATGTACCATTCCTTTAAAATAAAAGTAGTATGCATTGTGTTGGTTTTGTTTTCATGCTATCTTTAAAGCCCATTTAAACAGTTTACTGTATGCTTTATTGACTTTGTGGGATTTTTACCTTAATTTCCTCCCTGTGTCTCCATCCTGGTTCCTCTATTTAGCTGGCCGCAGTGGAAAAAGAGAAGGCACGGTGGGAGAGAGAGAAAACGCAGCTGAAGCAAAGCATCGAGGACAACAAGGAGAGGATGCTAAAACTGGAGAGCTATTGGATTGAGGCTCAGACGCTGTGCCATACGGTTAACGAGCATCTGAAGGAGGCCCAAAGTCAGTATCAGGCCCTGGAAAAGAAGTACAACAAGGCCAAGAAGCTCATTAAGGACTTCCAGCAGAGGTACAGATACTGAGATGATCGAATTGTACTTTAACTATGTCCTTTAAACACAAGAGAATTCATAGAGAATACTAAATACGTTTCAGGTAATTATAATTCCAGCACAGCGCTGAAGAGAAGGATCTTGATTATGTGGTTGCTGTTCTATCACAAAAGACCACAAATGAGCTCATTACCATGAATGGCAGTAAAAGAGCTTCTGAGTTTTTAAAGTAACGGTGCTACATTTAATGCTTTCTTTTTACTAAAAAGTAAAAAATAAAAGTATTAATTTCTCTAAAAAAAATCTTGTTGACCCAGAACTTTTAAATGATACTGTAAGCAGGAAGGCACGACTAACAACTGATTTCAGTAGACCTTGTCATGTTGCTAAGCTAACAGCACTATACTGTTTTAAAAATGAACAGCACATACAAATAATATGTATAATGGTAATTTTTTCAATTAGACTGAAGCTTTTTGTATATTTTTTATTGAATTAATTGTATTTATTAACATTTATGTCACTTTGCCCACAATCTCGGATGGATATTGAGCCTGTTGCAGTGCATTATGGGACTGGCTTCTTCACAAATGATACATGTCATTGTTGCCTGCAGAATTTGAACAAGAAGAAGTCTTAAAATTCTGCATAATTATGCTACCTACCTTTTGTAACAGCCTTTGTCAGGAGTGTGTTTGTGATGCTGCACATAGGCGGCTCTCTAGGTTTTGGCACAGAGCCCTGGTGACAAGAAATGGCTTGTAACCATTTATATGCAATGTCTGTTCTACGGTAAAACAGTTGTCATGCTGGACTAGGTATATGCTGACGTAGCTGGTGAAGCTAAAATATCCAAAGCACATATATGTGACTAGTCTTTTCAACAGGGTGGATTTTGTACTTAAATGCAGTTTAGGTTATAATTGAAAAGATACGTTGCCATTGTATAATTGTAAACTGTGAGTTTAATCTTCATAATGCCATCTTCATGATGTCTATGTGGCTGAAGGTTGAGAGAATCACAGCGTGCATTTCTCAAGCCGGAAAGTGTGTGAGCTGATCTCTGTGGTCGTTTCTATCACAACTCTTCTCCTCTGGAGCCTGAGTGCCTTTAATTGTGATTTCCATTCAGGCGTTATTGCCATAGTTAACTGCAGAGTCGCTGTCTATCCATGCCGACAAGCCTGAGTAAGCAGTCATGGCACTCCATTGTACAAGACGTCTCTCAGTTGACAGTAGTTTGATGGATTTGTTTTTTTTTTGTTATTTGCTTGATAATGAGGTTCTGTGCTCTCGAAGCCCTTCGAAATAGACTAATATGTCCACGTCTCAGCCCATATATGACCTCAACCATTATTGTCCTTTTGCCAAGTCTCTGTCTTTGCTTGCGTTCAGAGAGATGGAGTTTGCTCAGAAGGAGGATGCAGAGAAGAAGAGACTGGAGGAGGCGGAAAAGGCTCATTTGGCTGAAATTCAGAGTCTTCAAGTTAGGGTAATTATCTGCACACACACACACACATGTCAGTGCACTTCACTGCATTTCATGGCAACTGTCTCGTACTGTGAATCATCCAAAGTCCATTTGCATTAGTCAGTTTGTGAGCCCACATGGAAAAGGTATATTTCAACTGAGCAATATTCTTAAATGTTTTGCTGGAAATTTGGACGAAACAAAGCGTTGGAACAATATTAAAACATTACAAACCTTGACAGTTTGAATATTAATCAGGTACCACCCAGTAGTGATCTCCTGAAGGTCAGGTAAGTGAGCGTGTCAATAAATGGGGCGCTATTAGCATGCACAATTAATTGGGAGTGAATTCCACCTTCTCACAATATGTTTGGACAGCCAGTATCAGAATTTTTCTATGAAATTATTTAAAATCTCAGTACATACTTTTATTGTAGTTAGGTATGATTCATACAGGCTTGTAATTATCTTTTACAAGCGTCATACTGTGAAATGGGCCACATACATGGGCCATAAGAAACCGACATACAGAATAGAACATGTATAGATAATACTTTAATTCAGCAAGGACACATGAACATCAAAAGTGACAGTAAAGACATTTATAGTATTATAATGTTACAAAAGCTTTCTATTTCAAATAAATGCTGTTCTATTGAACAGTCTATTAATCAAAGAATCGCAAAAAAATATGAAGCAGCTCAACTGTTTCAACAGTGATGAAAGAAGAAATATTTCTTAAGCACATTTCTTAAGCACAGCATGTGACACTGGGAATCATGTGACAATCATGTGGCACTGAAGACTGGAGTAATGACTGCTGAAAATTCAGCTTTGCCATCACAGGAATAAATAATATAAAATATATATATGGGAAAATAGAAAACAGTTCTAAAATAGAAAACGTGTGGTTTTGTATAGATTGCTACACTGGAGACAGAGCTGATGCAGCTGATGAAGCAAAATGGCATCCAGATAAACAATAACAACAACAGCGCTGAGAGCCGAGCCCAGCTGACTGAGAGACTGACGGCCTTACAGTGTCCAAGGAGAAGTGTTGCTGGAGGGGGTGAGTCACAAAAACACGCATACACACACCTCAACACTCTCACCCAGTAGCTCATTAATTACCAAAATTATCATCAGTCTTCTGTTTGACAGGTGTCCTCAAACCAGACCTCATAGAAACACACACATGCTCACGTACCAGGACACACTTTATACAGCTGGTCATTTGTTTGCACCCAAACTATTAATAGTGATATAGTGGTTGGTGAAGCACCATGCAGGTACCTGATGGGTATCATCATAATGTTACAGGAAACAATTAATACACAGGACTTTATCAGTCTCAGTTAAAGCTGTGCTTATCAGAAAGATAGGAGGAAATGACATGGGTTTCAGCTACTACAGAGGGGAAATCCAAATCCAACATATAAAACCCACCCAATATTCCATGGCTTTTATTTAAAGCCACAACGTCCAGTGATGATATGTTAAATATTGCTTTGATTTTTGTTTTTATTCTCATACAAATAAACAGAACAAGCCATTAAAAAGGGAACTGAATAGGAATAGTTAACATTAAAAATGTTGGGGGGGGGGCATTGTGGTGTAACAAACTCTAAAATTACAATAATATTGTGCTTATTCTTCATTATTATTATGCATTTTGTTATTTAAAAATGATTGTATTATGCATTATTGTGATAATATGAATAATATATTCTCCTTATTATCATCATCATGCATAATACAATGATTTTATATACTATATATATATATATATATATATATATATATATTATATATAAAATAACAATAATAATTATTTATTTTTCAAATAACACAAAATACAAAAAATATTTTTAATATTTAAAAATGATTGTATTATGCATGATGATGACCTAATTACTACTAATAATAGTAATTATTAGTATTAGTATTAACAAAAATTAAAAAATATAAAATATATTAGTAGTAATAATCATAATGATAATCATTTGAATAAAAATAATTAGATAATAATAATAAGTAATGTAAAGATCATTTATACTATATTTTCAATACATTGACAGCAGAACGAACAATATCCAGGTACACAACAGTGCGACATATAAAAAAAAAAAACTTCTGTTCCTCATAGCCTCACTTGTGTCAAATTAAATATGGCGACCACTTTCTGCTTATGTAACATATCTCTCCGTAATAAACTCCCTCGCTTTGAACCCTGACCTTGCAGCTGCATACAACTGAGGTTTGTTAATTGAATTAAAGCAGCATCGTTCATCGCAGGTGCTTGATGCTTCTCACCTCACACACTCAGTAGTAATGGGTGCACTGGCTCTTCAAATCTCTCCTATTCACTGTGATAAGAGGGGACAGCACTGGAAAGCTGATTGGATGCATTGTGACTGAATGAGGCAGATAATGAGGAAGTGCTACTGCAGGGACGGCCTCAGTTTACTAAAAGGCTCTTCTGCAGGAAACCTCTCGGCCCTGTTTCCAACCATTTCATTTCAAATATCAGTAAATAGCATATGACGCTACGGGACATTGCAACATATAAACAAACCAGCCAGAAGTCTGTTGTAGGATTATATGTTTTTAACAGCCAAAATACTTGATATTTGATAGTGGCTTACTGTCCATTTTTGCTTAAAGCAAATTTTTTTTCATATTTAAATATTTTCTCCTATCCTAGTTAAATGAGCAGTGAGAACAACATTTGCAGGAAAATGTGAAAATTATGTGAATTAGTGATAAAATTTGATCTGATCTTAGACAAAGTCACAACAATAGACAAGCACCATTTGCTTGAACACACAAATAATGATATGATTTCATATATGTATTGAACACAGTACCGGATGAAAAAAAGAATGTTGGAAAAAGTCGTGGTTGTCCCACCCTAAACCTCCACCAAACATTTCCCATAATTGCAGATCAGGCCTGCACTATGGTCGGGAGGAATTTTGCCCCATTCCTCTTTCAGTATAGCTACAATTCTTGGGATGTCTGGTGTGCAGCGCTCTCTTGATATCGTCTCAGTCGTGTAGAGGCCAGAGCTCTGACTGGGCCAGAAGGTGTATATTCTCATGTTAAAGCCATTATGTGAGTGTTTTTCATTGTTTAGGCTCCAGGTTAGCTGAGTTATTAGAAATATTCACATACTTTCCCGTCACTGCATTGTGTGCTTACACAGTGTGTTTAGTGTAGAACATGGTTTAGGGTCGGCAAAAGTTTTGGATGATTTTGAAGTCACTTATGCTCACCAAGGCTGCATTTATTTGATTAAAAATATTTCACACAGGGCCATGTAGTTTTGGATTTTGTTTTCCCTTAATAATAAAAACCTTCATTTAAAAACTGCATGTTGTGTTCACTTGTGTTATCTTTTACTAATATTTAAATTTGTTTGATGATCTGAAACATTAAAGTGTGACAAACATGCAAAAAAATAAGAAATCAGAAAGGGGGCCAACACTTTTTCACACCACTGTATATATGTGTGTGTGTTATGTAATTGTATGGATTTGTTTTGTGTGCTAGAACTGGGCGAGCTGACGGGAACCAGTGGAACTCACCCTGAGAGAAACGAGAGGGTAAGACTCCCTTTCACATACACCAAACACCTCTTATTCAGGCGCAGGACATTTAAGCCAGATGCTCCGATAAAGAGTGGAAGTCACTTCTAATCTCATACTTAATTCACGAGTATGTGTAGAATATGTCAGGTTTCTATGGTCACAAAATACTCCATTAACATTAAATGCATTTATGTTGTATGAATGGTCACAGTTGTAACTTTATGTTTTTTTTTTAGTTTTCTCTCTTAGTTTTCTTTTCTGTCAGTAGTACTTGGTTGGGATAGGATCACAAAACAGGAGAAAAGCTAGAACATGTTGTTGTATACATTGACATTCTTGTATGGCGGTATCAGGTTACAAATAGTTTGTACCTATTTAGCATATTTTTTAGGTTTCCTGAGAAAACATTATTTACAGTGTTTCCTCTCTCAGAATCATAAGCCACGCTGTGTCTAGCTGTTGTAAGTGTCTGTAATAACCATAATACATCTCTGTAGAGAAACAGAAGGAAGTACTGTTGGGTCAGCAAAAACAAACAGGAAACAGCTTACTGTTGCAAAGAGCTTTCTTTGTGAATGTTTAAAACCTCTCCCTCTCTGTCTGTTTCTGTTGCTGTCTGTAGGGCTCTGGGCTTCAGTCCTCCAGGGTGGCCGGTGCCACAGAGGCCAGGCTCAGGCACCCGCAGCCTCAGCAGGGACCTGATAATGAGGGTAAATGCACCAAACCATTAATACCTGATTAGGGCTCAATTACAGGCCTAATGAATTATGCTTAAGGCCTGAGAGACACAATAAGGAAAAGTCCCTAAAGAAAAGATAGCATAAGAGAAACGCCTGAAGTAATGAATATGGCCTCTGTATAGTAAATGTTGAATCTTGTTGAATGCTAATGGTCTCTGCGTGATTTTTCTTCAGGCTCTTCAGCAAGTCGAGATGAGAAATCTGGCAAAAAACTACTAGACTTGGGGTACGTTGGTGACAATTCTGTATTTATATTTGTATTGACATAAAGTGTAGCTTTATATAATTGTCAGAATGAATGCAAAATACATTCAAATGTTTTTGAATGAAGTCTCTCATGCTCACCAAGGCTGCCTTCATTTGGTCAAAAATACAGTAAAAACAGTAATATTGTGAAATGATTAAAATTTAAACTAACAGTTTTCTATTTCAGTATATTTTAAAATGTAATTTCCTGTGATGGCAAAGCTGAATATTCAGCAGCCATTACACCAGTCTTCAGAAATCACTCTAATATGCTGATTTGGTGCAAAAATAAATAAATAAAAATCTTATCATCATTGAAAACCGTAGTGCTGTTTAATTTTTTTGTGTAATATTCTGCTTAATATTCTGTTTCATGGTTCTTTGATGAATAGAAAGTGTAAAAGAACAGCATTTATTTGAAATATAAATATTTGTTAACATTCTAAATTATTACTGTCACTTTTGGATCAATTTAATGCATCCTTGCTGAATAAAAGTTAATTGAAAATATATATTTTTTTTTTAATAAATATATATATATATATTACCTCAAACTTTTGAGTGTTAGTGTAGATTCAATAAAAGAAGCTGTGTACATTACTGATGGAAATTCTCTTGTTGGAAATTATAACAAGCTTCTGGTAATATTTTCAGATCTTCTCCGAGGAAAAGTAAAGGAAAAGAGCAGGATCCAAAAGGATCTCCCAGTAAAAGGTAAATAAAGAACCAAAAACCTAATGAAACCCTACCTACCTCTGAAATAGCAGAATTTTTTAGATCCTTTTCATAGTAATGTCAGAATAAATGCATTGTACCCTAAGTCTCATGAATTGTAAAGTACATGCCCAGCTGTGCCTTAATATAATAAACATTATAAAATATCAAATTAATATAATAAAAATTACACAAAATCTTTTGGACATCTCAGATGTGCAATACTGCAGGACATACACATTTTGCATTTGAAATAATCTTCAATGATTCAAAGAATTGCTTAATCAATGATTAAAGAGAATTGCTCCGCAGATGCAAGGCTAAAAAAAGGTTTTATTTCCTCTGGGTATATACGGATGACCGGTCGTATCCCACATCATCACAGTTCCTGGATTCCAACCGCGAATTACAATGGACTTTTAACAAAGCCTAAACAAAATTAAGGCTGAAACTTAAGTCTGTAAAGCAGTGAATTAAATGCAGCTCTCGCCTGTGTGTATGATCTGTCTCAGCTCTTGTCAGCACCTGTGCTGTGTTCCAGTCATTGTGTATAACCACTGAATAACCAGTCCCCTATCTTTAGCTCCACAGGGCCTTCAGCAGAGAACAGTCCTGAAAGATGCAAGAGCAAGGTAAGAAAAGTCACACAGACGTGTATGTGTATTGTATATATGTGATTGTGTGTGTGTGTGTGTGTGTGTGTGTGTGTGTGTGTGTATATATATATATATATATATGAGCAATATCACTTGAGTATGAGAGCAATACCGGCTCTATATCAGCATGGCTGTGATCCGGAGGCAATCACAGCCGCTGACATAGAGCCGGTATCGCTCAAGTACGAGAGTGATATTGCGTTCAGTTTGACTGTGTAATTAAACAAGAAACAACGGAGTGCCTAATAAAACCCTCTTTTGTGCGGAACTACTTCCTTCCGCCACGGATTCAAAGCTCAAGTTGACAGTTAAACATACTCACTTTTAGAATTCGTATCAAGGGCATGTGCTGCTTCAGTTAGGTTATTAGTGAGAAATAATGAGGTTATAAGAGAGAAACAACAAGAGAAAGCAAGACGTGCATCCAAATGAGAGAGAGAGAGACCCAGAAGCTAGACGTTTCTTCTTATATTAACTAACGTACTCTACGATTAGCTCAGTGAATAATTAAAAAAAAAACATAGAACAAGCTAGAACAAGCGGAGTGATCCAAAATTGTGAAAGGGCGTTCCTGTAGCGATACCAGTACAATATCTCACGGTTCTCAACCAATCAGATTTGAGAACCAGAACGAACTGTTGTATAAATGTATATATATATAACTAGTTTAAAAGAAATTGCAATCAATTGTTTAAAATATGAATGCCTGCTGCCTGTTTAGTGACATAACCTCCCTCTGGTGTGTTGCATTTCCATGAACAGAACTCTTTTTCCTGGCCACGCTTCTTCTCCTATTCATATTACGTGGTACTGTATCACATCTAGTTTGTTCAGATCCAAGGCTAATCGGATGTTTCTCTAATTTTAGCTGTAGACAAACAGTAGTTGCACATTACTGTTTTATTTGCTTTGAGATTGTTGCTGAATTATTATAGTTTCACAAATTGAAACAGTCCATTTTGATCCTGAAATTGTGGAATTTCATTCAGCTGCATGCATTCTGACTCTTACTCTTGAATGTTTTCATCTTCTTATAATACACAAACCTCACAAAAGGTTACCATGCTCAGGCTGTGCTCCTGGGATCCATGAAATCTTGTATTAAATCTGAAGGACATCAGAAAAACTACGGCCTGCTACCCATGCTCAGTCAAGGCATTAAATTAGCTTTGAATTAATCACTTTTGTGCCAGCAAAGAGCCCAACATATTCCGAGTATTTTCATATTCAGTTCAGCATCTCTCTCACAGACTTTGAGGTGTTGGAGACAACCAGACTGGTAAACATGTCCATCTCATCTGTGTGGATAGTCTCTACAGGGACTCTTCAAAAAATGTAGTAAACGCAAGTTTGACATTGAGAAAGAAAAACGACCGGTGAACATAATGCCATTTGATTCTTGAAACTGTGACTCTGAAACTCTGACCAGAATCACATTCAAATGCATCATGTTATGTGATTACACATTATGTTGAAAGAATGCGTTCATTTAAAAATGCAAATTAATTTACTCGGTGACAAATGATCATGATCATCATTTGAGTGACAGTACCAGTCTACACACAAAGCATTTTGCCGGGGTGTGCATGTCTCCTTTTGTCTTGTTAATCTTAAGAGACTTAATTGGCTTAACTGTCAATCAACAGTAATTACACTAATAATTATTTGTCATAGTCAATAAAACAATCAGAATCAAGGAATAAATAATTACCTCTCAAGTAATGGAGAAACAATTCAAGCAAATCCAAATGGTACATGGATAAATGTGTCAGTCAGGTAACACTCGTGTCTTACAGGTGTATTTCTGTCTCTGTCTCTCTTTCAGGGTCCTGGTGTCACTGATGACCTCAGCCTCAGCAGCACCAGCTCCACAGAGATCAGTGGCATCCAGATGTCCGGCCCATCGCAGACACTAATGCTCTCCTCAGATGAGGTATTGTTTGTACACTTGCAACCTGATTTCTCTGTTTAAAGATCCAAAAATGTACATTCTGTCAAGATTTACTTAGCCTCATGTTGACTTTCTCTAACTGAATTATATCTAAAGCATCACTTGCATGCTAAATTGTTCTGCCTGGAAAGATCATCAAAGGTTTTTTTCTGATTCAGTGAGTGTTTTTCTTGTCCTTGATGCTGCATTTATTAGAGTGTGGATATGATTGAAGATGAGGTGAGACTTTGTTTTAATGTGTTTGAGTCCCAGAATGACTCTTCTTCCCACGGAGCCTAGTTCTTCAATTTCTTGCATGTTCTTTGTCATCCAACAATCATTTTTTTATTAATAAATTTTTTCTCAGATTCCATTTGCTTCCTCAAAATATATTAACTATGATTTCTGGAATTATCAATCAGTGCTGATGACTATGTGACCTTGTCCAGCTAGTGCTGTACAGTAAGTTTGCGTGCGTGCGTGTGTGTGTGTGTGTGTGTGTGTGTGTGTGTGTGTGTGTGTGTGTCAGATTCTAGACGACAGTCCTCCTCCGAAGCTGTTCCAGTGGCAGAACCGCAGTGTGACTGAATGGACATGTCAACAGGTGTCATGCTGGCTCATGGGTCTGAACCTGGAACAGTATGTCTCTCTTTTTACTGCCAAGAATGTGGATGGAGAGCAGCTACTCAAGCTGGACAGCTCAGCACTCAAGGTGAGGAACAGATTTGTTGGGATAATTTAGTCTGTTAATCCTCTATTACTTCTATTGTGTGTGGTGAAAACCAAGCAAATTATGAATATAAGATGTAAAAAATATACATTTTCAATGATCAGAAGATGACTTTAACATCAACTTCATTTTTGCACATTAAGAGTCATAAATTTGTATATTGCACTAATAAATTAGCTAAATATTTCAAAATATTTATATTTTTTATATAACGCATTATTAAAGTATCTACTTATTTAATATGCCATACACATTTTTTAGGTTTAAAATTACCTACATTTATGTCTTAAACATTTCAATTTCAATTTACATTAACAAAAGCTTTTATTAACTTATTTATTTAAAAAAAAAAGGTTTTGATTTAAGTAATGAAGTCCATTTTATACAAGAAAATTAAATCAAACATTTTTTTTAAATATTAAATGTGTGCAATAGATGGTTAGGTGTTGTTTTTATCCGTATTTTGTTTCTCCTGCCATATGCTAAAATTGTTAGAATAATTCATGTCCCATCTGCTTTCCCTCCAATGAGAAAGTTATCTTTAGAGATTAGCATAGTTTCTTCGGATTCATCTGAACATCCTGTAAGTGTGTCTGTTTGTGTTTTTGGCAGGCTCTGGGTGTAGAGTCCTCTCAGGATCGGGCTCTGATAAAGAAAAAGCTGAAGGATGTAAAAGTGTTGATGGAAAAAGCTCAAAGGAACAGAGAGAAAATTGAGAAACAGCGCAAGAAGGAACTGGAGCAGGTTCAGAAACAGGTCCAGAAAAACAGCAACTCCTCTGGACCAGGAGAGGGCGCTACTGAATGACACTACTCACCTCACTACTGTCTCACCATTATAAGTACAAACCAGTTCAGCATTTCACGGGACTGAAAGGTCATTGAAAAAGGGGCTTACTGCTATTGAGCTGCCATTGGATGAATTGAAACCAAAATTTCCAGATATGGATTTTGTTATTTTTACCGAACAATATTCAGGTTTTTTTTTTTTTTGCACGTTTTAGCAGAATGATCACTGCTTTTTTGGTTTCCTATGTTTTATGTCTGATTAATATCTATTTATTTGCATATGGAGAATATGTATATATAGAACCAGAGCATATCAAGCTCATAACTCATCCATGACAGTAAAAAACTCTGCATTACAAGCACCTTTAGACGTTGAGACAATGTACATATGCAGAAAGCATATATATGAATATGTCTAACGTGCCATTTTCTATCAAAAGAAGGATAGTTTGTTAAGTGAACGCGGAAAGTTTTTAATACGATAGCTTTGACAAAGCACAGGTCATAGTGATGGACAGTGTTGCTGTCGAGTGTCTCTTCACCTCAAAGAGTTTGAGTGCTGCTCACAAGAACTACTACAGTCTGATTCACTGGCAAACACAAACCTTATTGTGAGAAGAAAGCCATTCCAAGTAATGAGATATCATGGACCCTCTTTGTGGATATTTCACTGTATACTTTGAACCTCCTGTTTGGATCTCCTTCATCGACCTGCCACTATTCAAGACGAATACAGCTGAAGTGTATGCTCTTCTCCAAGCTTGAATCCTCCTAATGATCTTTGGGGGAAAATGGTGGCAGTAGGATACTAAATGATTTCAGAAGTCCGTCATTTTAAACTGTTCTCCAGAGATGCGAGACTTGTACTCTAAAAGAAAAAAAGCAAGAAAAAAGACTGCTGCTTCTATTTCACATCTACCTGCTTCTAGCCCTCTCCATCGCCCTGAGCTAGATTCTCAGTTAGACCCAAGTGCTGCCTTTTGAAGTGCTGTTTAAATTTTGATTTGATTTTATGGTTTGTGGTTACAGTCTGGAACACACCGGTTGTGTGAATGCACCTCTGTTTTACCGGCATCCAAATGTTGTAGAGCAGATGACAAATGTGCACTTAAAACGGACCTATCTATGTACAGTACACTACCATTCAAAAGTGTGGGGTCAGTAGGATTTCTGAAAGAAATTCATGCTTTTATTCAGCAGGGATGCATTAAATTGACCAAAAGTGACAGTAAAGACATTACAAAAGTTACAAAATGTTAAAAAAGATTTTTATTTCAATGAATGCTGTTCTTTGAAACTTCAGCTTTGCCATCACAGGAATAAATTACATTTTAAAATATATTAAAATAGAAAAGAGTTGTTTTAAATTGTAATAATATTTCACAGTAGTATTGTTTTTGCTCAATTTTTGGTCAAATAAATGCAGCCTTGGTGAGCATAAAACTGACCCCAACTCTTAAACAGTAGTGTATGTTATTTTATCAGGCTAGATTTTATTCAGTTTGATCCCATTGTTTTTAATCAGTTATTTGTCTCATTCATAAAGAGAGCACCGTAATGTAGTAAATAAGTAGTCTTTTATAATGTAATTTACTGCACAGAGTAACGTCTCGGTTACTTGTGTAACCCTCGTTCCCTGAAGGAGGGAACGGAGACGTTACGTCAGTCGTGACTGACGAATTGGTATCTCGCCCGAGAGCCCAATCACCTTCGAGTGTTAACTAAACAAGCCAATGACAGTTGGCGTGCGTGTTTCGCCACGCGCACCCCGCCCCGCAGCGCGGGTATAAAAGGAGAGCGCGTGCAAACGCACATCAGTTTTTCGCTGAGGAGCCGAGACTACGTGCCCCGGCCGTACAGCGGTCTCGAAGGTGATTGGGCTCTCGGGCGAGATCCCAATTCGTCAGTCACGACTGATGTAACGTCGAACGTGACTGACTGAAAGGGAACCAGTATCGCCTCTATCAATTTATCCTGGGTTGTATTTTTAAATTTATGCAACACATTTCCCATATGTATCAATTGTAAGTATACAAAACACAGTAACCTACAGACGTCATTTTGCATTTCAGAATCCACTTTGACGAGTCGTATTAACCCTGTTTAACCCACCTTCTTTTCACTGCCCTAATTATCTGTCCATATCACATTTTTCTCAATTCTGCATTCGTGTAAACATGCTGTTTTCCCATTTGTAATAATACATATCGTTCATGTTTACATTTGAATTACTGATTATTTCCATGGCAACTCAAAGGCAGCTTCAGTGGAACTTGGGCACTGTACAGAGGACATTAGGCAGTGCCTCATGACCCTGTGGATTTATTACAAGCACTCAAATGTGACTCCATGGAAGATTATATTCATTGTTAATTAAGTGAATTATTTATCTCTAATAATTTTAAGTCTTGTCATAGTATATGTATTTCCCAATCAAAGAAATGTTTGTAAATCAGTTCACATTATTTATTTATGAAGCAAAAAATTATTACAAAAAAACTTTTAATTGTAATCAGAAAGAATTAGGAGATTGTATGTTTGTTAATTAACTCACAATGCTCTTGTGAACATATCTTTTATTATTGTAATTGCAAAACGATGTTTGTCTTAACATTATGAAATCCTTTCTAACCCTCTGCTATGAATCAACTGAAAAGAATAACCTATTGTAGATCCACATCTAACCTGCCTACCGATATACTGACTTTTGTATGTGAAAGTTAAGCAATAGCTTTTAATCCCGGCATTTTTTATCGATTCCATGAGGAGACCGAAGACCGGGTCTGTCTGTTTAAATGTGTCTGCGTGCAGGGTTAATCACGTACGGATCTGAGGACAGAAATGTGCTTCTCTTTCATGGGTTATTTGTTGTTTTCACTATACTCAATGGCAGAGTTAGTCAGGGTATATAGAGGAACTGCACGCAATGCCTGAGAAAAGAGCATTAACCTATGTATTTTTGTTCGTCATACCCGCATGAGGGACCTCAATGTGCCATACCCATTCTTTTCAAAACTACTAAATTCTATCCTTTATTTTTGTTCATGAAAAATTAAAAACCTTGTGTGTCATGTTGGACTGTAAATACACTTCAAATGACATATTTGATCAGACAAATACAACGAAAGATCATTCCAAACTTGTCTCGAGTTGTTCATGTGCAAGCCGTTTGTGGATTCAGTGGATGCTTTGAACATTTCAGAAAGTGTAACTATTTTACGTTTTGGTGCATTGGAATTTGTATATGAAATTGTATATAGAAAGGTATAATTCTTAGAAAGAAAAAAAACAAAAAACAAACATGAATATCCACCCCTAAACCTAACCCTCAGTGGGCCGTAAACAGATCATACAAAAACGTAAGAATGCAAATTGCACTTAAAAATAATACAAATTATTGTTTGAAATAACTATTTCTTAAGTTCAATTTTTACTTGCGATGGCAAGGCCCCATTTTCTGCAGTCCATTTACTTCCAGTCTGCAAATAGCCTTGTTACACCATCCATAAGAAATCCGTCTGTTTTGATTTAGTACTTGAGAAACTTTTATTGTTAGCAAATCTGAAAATGGTAGTGCTGCTTAATGACCTGATACTGAATGCTTTATTTCAGCTTTATTGGTGTGCACTTTTTGAAAAATGAAACTTTATGACTTTATTTCACCTATTTGTAATGTAATGTCTTGTTATCTGTACTTATTTATTTATTAATTTTTTACAAGATGGCCAATACCAAGGTGTGACCTTGCTGCACTTTTGGACCATTTGCCATTGATAGATTTTGCCCAAAATACCATAAGATCATATACAATCAGGGGCGTAGTTTGCGGTGGTGAGGTAACTCCCCCAATAACCAAAAGTAGCAAGTACCCCCCCATGAACCGAACGGAGAAGTTATCAGCACAATATGACTGAAAAACGCAGTTCTTTTAATTGTGCATGAGCGCTCTCGAAAAGTGTGATCAGATTTGCGCGAGGCATTCCTATCGCGAAGGAAGCTGATGGTAAAATCAATGTGTGATCTATTTGAACTCTATTGAGAAATTGTCACTTTAATATGCTATGGAGAAAGTCGAACATAATCTAAAAAGGCATTTAAACTAGTAAGACTGATGAAAAGAGGAGAAAACATAATTTTGCACCAGCACTAACATATATTAAAATATTTTTAAACTACTCGTGACCACCTTTACCAGAAGAATTTATCACGTTTTATTGTAGGCTTATTTATTGTGGTACATTTTGTTGAACTTGTTGTACAATTTCTAATAGATAATCTGTTAAGGGAATAGATTTTCCCTATTTATATTACAACTGTGGCATGTTGTAGCTATTGTTTCTAATAAATGTGCAGGCTGTTGTTTTTCATAACTGCTATATAGATTAATAATAAAAAAAAAGTAATTATCGGCCTGGTAATGATTAATAGGCCAGCCTTATTATAACAAATGCTGTTAAAAACTATGGTACATTTTCATAAGACCAAGTAGCCTACAAGTCAGAATCGAGTACCATGTGTAAAATGGGTTCTAATGATGAGTGATGGAAAAACCTGGCCTTCACATATTCCAAGATATGACATAGATTAAATCATTAAGAGCCTGATAAACTGTTAAGGAGTAAGAGATAATATCAATATAAGAAAATGTTAAGTTAGATTGACTTCCCATTCCCAAGGCATGTTGAATTAGAACATTCTGTCAAACTATAGCCTATAAGTGCCTAAATAACCTAATATAAAATAGGCTACATTATCCTATGTGAATCAGTAATTGTTAACTAGGCTATTACTTTATTGCAGTTATGTTATCAACCAACTTCGCATGTGTGGATGATAGCACAAAAGACCATTTAAAAAAGAAACATATAAGCAAACAAACAAACAAATAAGCCTCATGAGGGAGCATGACCCGGGACTCCACTAAAACAGTTCACACTTAAACTCCCCCATTGTTCAAACCAAAACTACGCCCTTGAATACATGGCGTCTTGAAAATATTTCTTAAATGCAGTCAATATTTTAATATTCTAATAATAGTATTTTGGTGGATACTGTAGTTCCTTTTTTGTTTGTTTGTTTGTTTAAGGCTTGTTTGGCCCTGTAGGCTTTGACCTCTTCCCCTCACAGTCTATTAATAGTCAGACTGAGACTGACTCGACACCGATTGTGTTTCACACACGCTCCTGACCACTGGAATTCACTCTTCTTTCTGGAATTACTTAAACATACTGAACGAGTGTTTCTTGCGGATTAGTCGGTGTATGTGTGAGATATGAACAGGCCTCGAGCAGTTCTCGGTTTAGCGGAGGAAGATAACCGGACTCTGTCGCGGCGGGAAGCTGCTGATCACCTTCTAAAGGCACGCTTTCTAGAAGCGCTCACGCGTAACGATGCGGTGGAGGTTGCCAAAATTCTTCGCACCACCAGCATTGAAATAGACACCGTGTTAGACGTGGAGGACCGCGATATGATCCTTGCCTCGTATAAGCAAGGTAATTCATGTTGACGAGACAACAGTCGCTCTTTTACCGGAGAAATCATTAGACTGTGTGACTGCAGTTAGGTATTCAGCCACAAGGTAGCGCTAGACTGCAAGTAACAGAGAATACAACAAGCGTCGTCTATGAAATCACTTTCAGTGAAGCACGCAGATTATGGGTAGGCTACTTGATATCAGCGGTGCTGCAGTGTGATATAAACCTATACACTATAATTCCGATAAAACTATTTCAATAGCATTTATTCAGTTGCATAATCAATAGTGATTTTAATGACCTCAAATGAATCAAGAGACTTTTCGTTGTGTAAATTCACACGACCCCTGAAATAAAAATTATTTTAGGCCATGTAACTCGCATTCCTGTACTATACAGATTTTTGTCTAATCAGATGCTCTCTAGAATGAGAATGCAGCCAATTAGCAGGCTGCTTTGTTAAGATTATTTCCTGCTTCTATTTTAATAAGAAATATGTTAACACAGATAACACTGAGGTAGGGTTTTTAAGGGAGCTGCTAAAAAGCTAAAATTTGAAATTGTGAAATACATGGGGACCATGTTATTTTAGTGTTATACTTTTATAATATTATGTACTATTTATTAATACTGTGAATTAGCTTTTATTTTTATATTTTCAGTTTTCATTTTAATTTTTAGTTTATGTTTTAGTAATGGGCTTTTATCATTTTTATTAGTTTTTTTTAATGTTTCTATATAGCTTTAATGTTACTTCAGTGTTACTTTAGTAATTTTAGTACTTCAGCTTACGCTTGTTTTTCATCTAATATTTATTTTATAATATTTCAGCTCTATTTCAATTACCAAAAATTATTTTTAACAGTTTGAGTTAACAGCAACAACACTACGATCAGTTACACCAAAAATATAAACTTTCCCATACATGTGTATATCCATTTTAACCTTAAATATTTCTGATGAAAAAACAAACTGTTCTTTTCCACCAGGTTACTGGCTACCAAGTTATAAATTGGACACATCCTGGGGGATGGGTCTACACGTGTGTATGATGTACAATGCACTGGAGAGTGCCATAGTCCTTCTGCAGAATGGGGCAGCTGTCAACAGGAAACCTAACGGGAAAACCCCTCTACATGTGGCCTGTACGGTGTCTAATGCTGACTGTGTGGGACTTCTGCTGGATTGGGGCGCACGGATCAACAGTATGTCCCTGAGTGGACATACTCCTTTACACTACTGCATTACACAAGAGTCTTTGGACTGTGCCAAACATCTTGTTCTCAAAGGTCTGTACATTTAAATCTAAAATCACCTAGGTTCACCTAAAAATACATTTCTGTCAACATTTACTCGCCCTCATGTCATTCCAAACCTGTATGACTTTCTTTCTTATGTGCATTAAAAACAAAAATTGTAACTGTAATTGTAATTATAACTGTATTTGTCCATATAAAGTCAATGGGGTCCTAAACAACACTATTGGACAAAAAACACAAGACTTCTAATCTTACTGCAGGAGCAAATATCAACATGCCCGGTGAGGAGAACCAGGACACCCCTCTGCACACCGCGGCCCGCTATGGTATCCCAGAGCTGGTGGCTTTCTACATTGCCCATGGAGCAGATATCAATGCAGTCAACGGCTACATGGAAACGCCTCTGATCACTGCTGCATTCTGGGCCATGGACATTTGTGAGCGGACCTACAGCTCTGACCACCATCTTGTCTGCCGGATCCTGTTGGACCACAATGCTAACGTACATATATATGAGGAAGACAAGAAGACGGTGCTGCACAAAGCTTGCTGGAACTGTGATCATGTGCTTATCCAGATGTTACTGGAGGCCGGTGCCAAGACTAATGCAATGGATATCAATGGATGCGCAGCGATACAGTATCTGCTGAAGGTGACGCAGATCAGGCCGTGGGCCATTCCTGAACGCTGCTATCAGCTGCTTCTGAACTACGGAGCAGCACGAGTGTATCCACCACAGTTTCACAAGGTACAACACTCACCCACCCGAACTGCTTTAGTTTTCCATATTTATTAGAGTAAAGATGTCAATTGGGAATTTTATAGTTGGACTAGAAGGTGTTTACATTTAAGATGGCTCTCAAAATATTAATGTTGGTCTTTTTTGTTGTCTTTCTGTTAAGTAGGTGTTGCAGGCATGTCATGAATACCCCAGAGCAGTGGAGGTTATGGTGAATTCTTATGAACATATCAAGTACACTAAAAAATGGAGGGCTGCTATTCCTGAAGCTGTATATGAGGTCAGAAATAAACTTCTTTATTCACTGCAAAAAATAAACATCATAAAATAAAATGAATAAGAAAATACAATAATATAAAATACATAATTTTGTCTAGCTTAGAAATGTTTAGAAATGATTCTTGAGCACCAAATCAGCATATTAGAATGATTTCTAAAGGATCATGTGACTGAAGACTGGCGTAATGATGCTGAAAATTCAGCTTTGTCATAAATTACATTTTAAAATATATTTAAATAGAAAACAGTTTTTTAAATTGTGATAATATTACTGTTTTTACTGTATTTCTGATCAAATAAATGCAGCCTTGGTGAGCATAAGAGACTTCTTTCAAAAACGTAAAAAAATATTACAGAGCCAAAACTTTTGAAAAGTACTGTAT